TTTAAAATCCTCCCATTGCCTCCCATTATAATTAAAAAAACAATTCAAATGCCTTGCCATGTGGCACATAAGGCTTTTATGATCTCTCTCTTGCCTGTCTTTCCAGATTCATCTCTCTTCCCTATGCTCTTTGCTCACTATGCGCCACCTAGCTATGAACCATCTTAATGTTTTTAGAACACCACATTTTCCCTGCCTCAAGCTGTTCCATAAGTGCTTGTTCTGGCCTGAAGCTCCTGTATATCGTATGATGTCACTTTGGTACCCTGGGGAGTCACTGCACACCACTCTAGGGAAAGTAGACCTGGTTTCCTAGCTTTACCACAATGTGTGGTTATATAGTAGTCAGTCAGTAAATATTTGAAAGAATGAATACTACTACTTGAATCAGCTCAGAGAATTATCTTGTTTCAGGCATAAGGGCATGGAGTTGAGAGTCAAGGTGTTTCTGTGCATTATCTGTTATCTTCTCCCTTTGAAAGACCTGTGTTTTTATGCAGATCCAGTTTTCTGAGCTTTAAGTACGTATTGGTGGTCAGCTCTCAGCCTTCTATCTGCAGTTGGTACCATACTAATAAACCAAAATATCACCAATACTAAAAGGGTATACTGCCAGCATAGCTGCCTTTTGGGCACATGCAATTGGAAGGAGGCTACTTCTGAGGCCAAAAGTGGTAGGAAGGAGAGATTGGAGAAAGACCTGGTAAAGAGAGAAAGCCTATAGGTCAAATTTCTTCAAATTGCCATTGCCAAAGACACATACTGGTGTAGTAGTTGAAGAAGGCATCAAAGACAGAAAGCAGGAGTTTAAGAACAGTTTATCTTGGGCAAAAGCAGTCCTGTCAAGATCTACCCTAGTGGCATTAATATGCAAAAACCTAAAAAATTTTCACTACCTCTTGTTGCTGCACTGCTAATCTGGGATCATTTGCTAAACTTCCCAAACCCCAGAGCTTCTCATCAGCTCAGTCCCCACCTGGTGGTATCAGCTTTTACAGAAAGAAATTATGGAAAGTATAATAGGCTGCTTCTAGCTGACTGCCTCTTACCTTACCTTGTTCCTTTATCTTGTCCAACACTGTTCTGTCTGTCAGGTTACAGCCTTAATGAGGTCATTTGTTCTGCATACAGTGTGAGATTATGTCGTACAGTAATACATTTTCTGCTTTGGAGCCATGCTTGAACAGCCTCCTCTGCTGTGGAAAGAATTCGCCATTTAACAGAGAAGGACCTTTATGGCTTGTCACAGCTTTCAATCATAGCTGTAGTTTTTGACTCTTTAACAGTGGCACAAACATTTTGCATAACCATTTAGTACAAATACACATCTTAAAAGGATGGATGCCTAGAAAAAAAAAGAATCCTGACTGTCGGTGTTAATATCTGCAAATAGTTAACATAACTGAAACTCATAATATTTTACTTTTAGTTTTACACCAAAATTATCTTTCAACCATCATTTTCCTTTATAAATAATGTATAGCAATATTGTTTTGGCTTCATCTTTATTTTTTATTTTAAAAACTTTTTTGGAAGCATGCGCGTGCGCGCGCGCGCACACACACACACACACACACACACACACACACACACACACACACACACACATCTTCTGCATGTCTAGAGGTCCACAGAACAAAAACGAATGGCTGAGTTTTCAAAGTTGTGTGAACATGTGAGACCTCACATTGCAAAGCATAGCAAATTGCAAGCAGGCTCATTAAAACAAATCTAAAAGAGAATGATTGTAGTACAATAAAAGTGTGTCCAAAATAAAGAAAATCTTAAAAAGTTAAAAGACAGATTGCCTCAAAATTTAGCAGGGTCGGGGGTCAGGTGTTCTAATCCCAGGGTAGGGGAGCCACCCTTCCAGTGTAGTCTCTCGCCATCTGTGTGTCCTATTAGAGGCGAAGGGAGGTGATTTGTCACAGGGTTACCACCTGCCTCAGAAAAGTTGCTATTCTTTGCGGTATGTTTCCTTTCCATTGGAAGAATGACTCCCTTTTGTGTGTGCGTGTGTACTTCTCACATGTGATATTCCCACATTTGATTGAATAAGATCACAGTCTCTGCTTATTTTTATTTTAAAAACAAACACCCTTGTAGAGCTTAAATTAGACAATGAGAACAGATAATTTTTTTTTTTTTTGAGGTGGAACCTTTATAGAAAAGGCTGAATGTTGGAGGATGATTCAGTGGGTTCTCAGGGCAACCAGCCTCCCTCCCCTGGTCATTTACAATTCTATTAGGGCAATTATAGATTATAACTCAAACATCTGAAAACCCATTTGGAGAGATAAAAAAATCCATTTTAACTGTATTTCACTGTAAATTGTAAATGAGATGCAAGATTATCTAATAGGTTAGGGTTTAAAATTGAAATTTTCTGTATTATCTACATATAACCATGAAGGTGAGTTTAGAAAATTTTGAAAATACTGATTTTTTAAAATTCTTTTTTGTTAAATTGAAGTTATGATTTAAAAAAATGATGCTGGCCACTTTGTGTCTCTAAATGTCCCTTTCCCCATTTTTAGAATTAGGCAGAGGGTTATTGTGAAGAGAGAAGATAAGTACATTCTGTTGAGGAGGGCACTGAAGAAAACAGTTCTTTCTGTTCTTCCCAGAAGATGGGAAACCAAGTGTCCAACCCACCCTTTTACTAGGTTATACATCGTGTTGGGTAGATATATTTCATGGAAATAATATATAGCTCTGTGGAGGTGTGATTGTGTATGTGATGAGTGTGTGTGCACACGTGTGTGTGTGCACATTTAACTTGCAGTGTTGGGGGTTTTTCTGGCCGTGGTGTCCTTTGATTGGCAGCTGGGAGCAGGAGCAGCTCTGTTCTCTCTGCCGAAGGTTCTGACCAGACTTTTCTCTCAAATGTCCCTCCCTCATGGACTGTCCCTTTCCTGGGAGCCAGTGAATTTTGCACAGATCTAAGCTCATGAAAATGCCTTGTCCCCATGTTGCTTGTGGTGCTGCAGGGCCTGTTTCCCTTGTAAGTCGCTGCTGCAGTAGGTGAAGTGTTTTGGTTCTGATTCTGAATTTCATCTGCAGGTTACTGAATGTCAGATTCTCAACTCCGTGACTACCATATCTCAGCAAGCACTCCAAGCTGAAGCTCTAAGTGTTTTAATGTACCTCTTGATATGCTTGATGAAATAACCCTGGCATACTGGAATCATTCATTCAGCACGTTTGAGTGTCATGTGCCAGACGCTCCTGGGTGTTTGGAGTACACATACGAAAACTACCAGAATCACTGTCCAGGAGTTTACAGCAGAGCCTTAATTCTCACCTGCTCCTCTTCTGGACAGGGGGTCATTCCCCACTAGCTTTAAAAATGTATTCATTTGCTTCACTTGTGTGTGTATGTCTGCTTGAGCTTGCTTAATGTCATAAGATACAAGACTGCCCTAGGAGAGTTTGTGTATGTGATAGGCAGACGGATAGACAGGCAAACATAAAACCTCCTGCTTCCCAGCATGCTGGATAGGAGAGGTACAAGCAGAGGCTCTGAGGAAAGAGAGTAAAAGGAAAGAGGGACTCTGCCCGAGGCATGCTTTTTATGACAGAGGTGCTGTTAAAGGCAGTCTGGAGGTCACCTCTGTATGCTTGAGGTATGTGGAAATGCAGCGGTGATGAGGCCAGAGGGAAGAGGTGGGTGAGGCCAGGCACTGGAAGTCTGAGAGTACGTGATAGGTTTTCTGTGAGCAAGCCAGTAGACTTCAGAGTGCGGCGTGACATGGTTATCTCTGACTCAGGATACCTGAAGACTGGAGGCACTGGTGGCAGGAAATCAGCAGAGTGGTTTTCTTTCATTTATTCTTTTAGTTTTCAACATGTATTTATGCAGGGCTTGCCTTGTAGGCAGTGCTAGGATTTTCCAAATAATTCAGGCAGGAACCTACAAGGGCTAGAAATGTAGCTGTGGTGAACAAGAATGGAAAGGCTGGGATGGATGTGAGAAGCATTAGACCAGGGATGGGATCAGGCAACTGATATGGGATTGAGGCCTAAGAAAAAGCCAGTTTAAGGCAAACAAGGCAATGTGTCTGTGAATGTGGATGCTATCAGGTGCCTGGCAGTTGAGGTAGGTACTTGGACAACTTGCTCTGTAGGACCCATTTTTGTGGTACAATTCAGGAGTTGTCATGAGAATCCCTAGTAACTTGTTAAACTTGGGCTGGGATATTGTTTAGCCATTGAATTCCATAGTACACCTCTCCTTCAACAAGCAAGCTGGAAGTACCACAGGTCCTTTGGAGGGTTGCCACTTTGTTAGAAATGTAAGTTTAAAAATAAATTACATGAGTGACTGCCAATCTTAGATGCTAGTTCAAGAAGAATGGAACCTATTCAGTGCCCTAACTCAGTTTTCAAATTTCAAGTTCCTTTTTTGCTGAGTGACCAGAAGATACATATGAACACAAGTTGGGGTACATGTAGGCATCTCAGTCTTTTGCTCAGTGTTGATTGCTTTCTGCTTTACTAGTCAGTGGTATACAAAAATGCAGCAGCCTGTGCTGCTGTGGTACAGATACAACAATTCTCTCAATAGTTGGATAATTACAGATTTAATTCTGAACTGAGAAAGCTGATTTCATTGATATTTTGTCATAAGAGCTGTAAATAATGTAATAGCTTATCTTGAAAAAAATGCTTTTTTTGCTCTGGAGGAGCCAGCCCATTTCTCTTGGTCAAGGAAATATGCTGCATTTTAACCATGTGGTGGTTGTTATTCATTGTCCTCTCCCCTCCTCTTCTCTTCTCTTCTCTTCTCCTCTCTTCTCTTCTCTTCTCTTCTCTTCTCTCTCTTTCTTTCGTAGGAAATGTTGTTTTTTGGACTAAGTTAAATGCTGCTCAGCATAAAAGATGTGATGTGGAACAAAACCTGTAGACTGTGACTAATTGACATGCACTGGGCTGATGAGAAGACAGAATGTCTCTAATCAGCAGAACAAACGCTCACGAAGGGTCTCCTTCCCTCCTAGGACCTCCTTTGCAGGGCATCTGGCTGGGATCCTCGTTGGACTAATGTACACTCATGGGCCTCTGAAGAAAATCATGGAAACATGTGCAGGTATACAACAAAATGCCTTTGGCATGACAAGTTAGAAATTCACCTTAATTTTTATGTGAACAGAAGCAACTCCAATATCTTGTGGTTCATCTTAGGACTCTCCCAATATGCTCATTTGCCTTTTTGAACAAGGACATAAAACAGCTAGTACAATCCCTCACATAGCTCCTTCAGAGAAAACCCAAATTTCAGATCTGAGGCTTTCTTAAGGAATACGTTTTGGGATGTATTCTTACCTTTGGCCCTAAAGCTACTCACAGGAAACTGCGGTTTCCTCAAAACTTCAGAGAACTGCAGCGGGTTTAAAATAATACATTTTCTAAAATATTACATGAATTAATATATTTGTAAGTCAAAGTTTAAAAAGAAAACCAAATCAAGACTGAAATACAAGGCCAGCATTTTATAGAATCCAGAATGACCACCAGGTCCTTGGCAGGCAAGACAAGTGAGGTGTTACAGAAAACATGGTGAATGTTTACATTTTAATTTATTACAGTAAAAGGCACATTGCCATAATCCTCCTCAAAATACTCCCACACTCTTTGAACACACGTATTGTTTTTGCCACTTTCTGGAGGAATTCTGGTTGACCTCTTTTGTGAGCACCCTTAGTTGTGCTGTCATGGCTGCCTTGATGTCCCGAATTTATTCAGATATTGACCTTTCGTGGTCATTTTTACTTTGGGGAAGAGCCAGAAGTTGTATGGTGCCAAATCTGGTGGATAAGGACATACCATAATGATTTAACGAGTCTATCTTTGTATTGAATGGCAAGGAGCAGAGAGTTGCAGAACTACTTGAGAAAGTGGCAAGAACAGTGGAATCAGTATGTTTGAGTGAGGGGGAATGTTTTGGGGAGATTAATGTTAGTGTATGTTATTGTAATAAATTTTATTTAAAATTAAACGCTATATTTTGATCACCCCTTGTATATTCATGCAGACATTCATATTATCACTTGAAGGTTGGCTTCTACTTTTTTGTTTTTTGTCTTTTCCTGTAAATTGATGCTCAGTGAAAATAGTTTATTGAGAAATAAGTGTATTTTTTAAACCTCGTAATTTAAAATGTTCTACCAGTCTTGACTTGTAAGGAAACTGTTTCACAAACATTTGTTTTATATACCATGTGAGTTCCAATATTTCATCTTTTATTCATGGAAAATCTTGAGACTATTTTACCTTTTCTTGAACCATAAATAATTTGTTTTCACAGTTTGTGCTGATGACTGGTATACTTGAAAACCATATAATATTCATGATATTAGAAAGCTTTGTCAGCACTGTTTGTCGCCTTTATTAGTAGGTTGTGTTCACTTCGGGATGATTTTTAACAGGCTATACTACACTGAAGTAGACTCCCATTGTCCATCGCTTTGTTTTCTTGTGTGCATGCTAAGGAAGCAGCAAGAGCTTCATTTATTGAAATTGTTGCATTTTATTGTGTTGTCAATACGGTCTAATTATGGAAATCTAGTAAGGAGTACTGATCACAGAAGAAATTTTCTCTCGTGTTCATCGTTTTTGTTTCATTTTCTTATGTGTCTGGAGATCAAGTGGTTATTAAAGGTTTCTGCAAATGTAGTACAAAATTTAGTTTCCTTTCTAAAAAGGATTTCCCCCACAATTGTCACATCTAAAATTATAGTTGTGAGGGGGTGAAGGGAGGGCAGGTATAAGGGGTAGGATTTCCCCCACAATTGTCACATCTAAAATTATAGTTGTGAGGGGGTGAAGGGAGGGCAGAGGTAAGGGGAAAAAATGAGAATCAAGACTTATCATGTAGAGGTACAAGATCCCAACAATGAATGTAACTGTACTGTATCCCTAAAATGTACCAATAAACTCAATTAAAGCTGGAAAAAAAATAAATAAAATTATAGTTATCTTCCTTAAAATCTCACCTGTTTTTTTGTGGAGACATTTTTAATATATCATTCTCCAAGTAAAACAGGAAATTAAATATGAAAAATTGAACTGGTCATTCAGTGCCATCTGCAGATAGCCTCCAGGCTCTGCCTGCTTTCTAGTAAAGCCAGAGAAAAGATCTGGAGTGAGCTGAGAATTGAAGTGGCACAAGAACCTCCTGGAAAATGTCCGGGCATGTGGAAGCTGTGTTTGATGTCTCCTGAAAGATGAGGGCGGTGTTGAGGTTGTGCCCAGGCCTCTCCCTCTCTCCATTCAGCTATGCTGAGGGAGAAAGTCCCTGAGGAAGGTCAGGAAATAGCACTCCTCCTGTTGGGAGAAGGTGGCTCTTTGGCCAGAGCATCTCTGCTTGCACCGTGGTGTCAAAACCCAAGCTCAGTACCTTTTGGGGCAAAGACTGTCTCATGTCAACAGGAACCTTTAAGAAACTATGGTGAGTATAAATTAGGGTTTCATCACACTCACCGACCGCGTCCTGTTCCCTGTAGAGCTGGTCCTCAAACAACAGGGAGTTTAACAGTTGTTTAGAAATCATTTGAAGTGACCCTGGGCCTTGTCGTAAAGTACCTCGTATTTGTTGGAAAGAATATCAGATAAAGACTTATATTCCTACCATTGAGATGTTTCTGTATTTCATGTTTAGGCCTATTTTCTTCTAATGGTGGATACCCAGGACAGCAGTACTACTTTAATAGTTCAGGTAAGCACTTTATTTCACTTAATACATTTTAATTTATCTAAAAATATTATAGTATTTTCCAAGATAGAGCTGTTTTAACATAACCCTAATTTATATTGTGGTAGAGTAGTTCACACATTATTTGTCACTTTTAACTTTCCTGGAAACTAGATGGGGAGGAGTATTCCAGGAAGAAAATTTGGGTGGATTGTAGGGGAAGCCAGTGTAGAAGGTGGTGACTCTGGCATGAAAAAGTTTAAACGGTTGGTGTGAAGTCTTGCTATGTTGTAGGATTCATACTATACTCAGATCTCTTGGTTCTCAGCCTCAGGTGGTACTGTTGGCAGTGTGTTAGAAGCTAGCTTCAGGTACACACTTCTCCACAATCTAACTCATCTACATGTTCAGGAAGACTCATGCTTACTGTAGCTAAGATGCTAATAGGCCTTCCTCTAATAAATACTGTATGGCTTAGAGAGAATGGATTTTCTACATGTCTGTTTAAATATGTAGAAAGGACTTCCTGTTACCAGCATAACACTTGTTTTAGGATAAGGCCATTACATTCCATCCTGGTGCAGTGTGTTAACTTTCTGTTATTGTAATGAAATACCTAAGGCAGGCTAATTCTATAAAGGAAAGAGGTTTATTTAGCTGACACTTTTGAAGGTAAAATAGCATTGCTCTAGCATTAGCTCTGTTCTGGTGATGAGCTTCTTTTTGGCCACATCGTGAGGCAGCACATGATTAGAGACAGCATGTATGATTATGTGTAGTGGATCTCTGTCCTTCTAAAGCCACTAGGATTCAATCAGGTGGCCTCCAGTCTAATGACCTTATCAAAAACTGATCCCTTTCCAAAGGCTGCACCTCTAAACACCATGATCAGATTAAAAGCCCTCTTAATTCCATTAACATATGACTTGGGTTTAAATTCCTTCATGAGTTCAGAGGGATGAACCATATTCAAGACATGCAGACATCTGTACTGTAATATCTTGAATCAGTATCATCAGACATATTCTATGGAACCACTGGATATCTTACTGCAACAGATCAACTGTGTCTCCAAATTCAAATGTTGAAATACCTCTAACATGATGGTATTTGGTGGTGGGACCTTTGGTAAGAAATCAGTCATGAGAGTAGAGCTCTCACAAATGGGATTAGTGCTCCTATAAAAGGGACCCCATGGAGCTAGATAGTCTCCTTGCTGTTCTGTGATTATACAAGATGTTGACAGCCTGTATCTCAGAAGAAGGCCCTCCCAGAATGATCATGTTGATCCCAGAACTGTGAGACATAAGTAACCATTGCTTAAGCCACCCCGTCTATGATTATTTGTTAGAGCAAACCAAATGGGCTGCTGTGACATATATGCATTGTATTCATGTCATTGGAGAATTGCTGTAGCTTAGATTTGGGATCAGAAGACTTTTCTATAGAGTCTCCAAGGGCTTCACTGGCTGTATGGTTCTGTCAGAACCAGTAAACCTGTCCCTGTAGCATGAAAGCAGCCATAAACAATTGATAGACAAATAAGCATTAAAATAGGAAGTGGGTTGGATGTGGACCATGAATTGTAGCTTTTCGACCATTTGCTTAAGTAATATCCAAGCAAAGAATTGCTTTATTTCCCGTGATGGTTAAACTTGATTGTCAACCTGATTAGATTCAGAAGCACACATGAATTTAGTGAAGCACACTTTTGGGTGCGAGTGTGAGAGTTTCCAGAGGCAATTGGCATGTGAAACAGCAAGCTGAGGGGAGAGACCCACCCTGAATGCATGCTGCACCACCAATAGGATGGGGACCCAAATGGAACAAAAGTGGGAGGATGAGGAAGCACATTACCATGCCCACCATGAGGTGAGCGGCTTTCTTCTGCCTTGCCTTCCTCAGTGATAGTTCTGCTTGTTACCAGCTGACCATAGACTGAATCCTGAAACTCTGAGCCAAAATAAACATTTCCTCCTGTTAGTTGTTTTTCTCAGGAATTTTGTTACAATGGTGAAAAGTAGACCAACGTGTTTTCCTGGTGAGAATGTTCTTAGCCATGGACAGGTTAACCCAGTAGCATATTGTGAGTGGTCGTGTTGTACAGCATAGTGGATTGGACATTGTAGGAGATAAAAAGACCAACAGTCCCAATCTAAGAGAGTTTAATATTGGGGGAATGGAGATGTAGGTGCTACCAAACTTTTGAAAAGATGAAATAACAGAAACTAATAAGGCTAATTAGGGAGTAGAAATAGAATATTAATCCATGTGTGATGGTAAGAATAATGGGATGATAGCCATTAATGTTAGTATTTGTTGAGATCTTGCCACATTTCCTAGTTGTCCTGACTCTCCCTTTCAACTTCCTCACACAGGGAGCTGGCTGTGCTGTGCTCTAGAGCTCCCTTTCCTTGCACAGCCAGAACCAATAAAGTGAGCCTGAAAAGTGAAAATAAGCCTAAAAAGTGCCTTCAGGCTCATTTCCTTTATTTCCTTTTTCTCAAGACTCAAAATCTTGTATTACTTGTTATACAGTGTCTGAAAATATTTTCAGATATTTCCTTCAGTCTTTTACTTGATCTTGGCTGAAGGGCTAACTCAGAGCCAGTTGTTCCTTCCTGGCAGAAGCAGAAATCTAACCCAGCAAGATTAACACAGAAGGTCAGTGCTCAGCCGGCGAGGGACAAGTGGGGTTGCTTTACTGGCGGCCGTCCAGAGGAAGTGGAGTGCTGGAATGTGATGGATGACAAGAGGTTAAGGAAAGCAGAGGGAGGAAAGGGCTTTTGGTGAGCAGAAGCAGACTCTGGAAAGCCTGTTTGAGATTATTCAGAATGTGCTGGATAGACATTAAAGAATTAAATCAGTGGCTTGATAAGTGTTGGAGTACAGTCACATTGCATTTTCTGTGTAGTTCTCAGGCCTCAGACCCTGATCAGTCCTGGCTGTGTAGTCTGTGTATCGCCTGAGGGGCTTTTATAACTTACCCATGACTTGAATTTCTCCCAGACCAATGAAATCAGAATGAGTGTAGAATCAGGGATTGGGACTGTTTAAGAAAAGCTCCTCAGGTGGCTCTGTTTGGATTAGAAACCCTATCTCTGCCCTAAAATGAAGCTTCAGTCCTCAGGCTTTCACCTCTGCTGATTTGGATGCTTTAAAAATCCCATAAACTTGGTCTGGATGAAGAGGAATAATTATTGGTTGGTGCTGACTCCCTTATTTCTACTTGTGGACTCACCTGAAGAGAGAAGGCATGATAAGGGGTTAAGGGTGAAGCCGGTAACTGGTCATTTGGAAGAGCACTTTTGGTTGCAGGTTGTAACTTAAATAAAGTTCATACCGATTTCAATATGAAAGAAGCTTTACTGGTCCGCGTGACCAGGAAGAGCTGAGTTGGTTCTGAGAACCATTATGGTTCTGTTTCCTGTTGTGGTTTCTCTCTGTTAACTTTATGCTCTCCCTGAGGCCAGGGACAAAGCAGGGCACACGAACAACTTGAAGTTGCTAGAGGGATAAGGGCTTTTCTTCTGGTTCTGTTTTTCTACATCCTCAAAACAAACAGCTGTTCTTCTGGGTGGAAAAAAAAATAGCAAGAACATTTTTGTGCACAGACATGGTTTATGGTTGTGGATTACCTAGTCCTAACTTTCATAGCTAGGGGTCAAGTAATTTGGCTAAATTCACCTAGGTAGTTAGTGGTAAAACTAAGACAAAGGTGCCTGTCACTAGTTCATAGCTCCTGATTTTTCTGTTGTACAGGGATACGAAATGGGCACTCTGCCAATTTAGCCTTATAAAGTAGGGCAGTTCCATTTACTCTCTTTTTCCTTTTATCTTTTTTCCTTTTTTTTTACACTCCATTTGTTAAGAAAAGAGAGAGAAACCTGCCTCTTTCTTCTTTCATACAGAAGCATAGGCCCAGCGGACACACACGCCAGAAAACTCCAGGCGAAAGAAAACGCCAGCCTCTTTTACTTTTCTTTCTGCTCCTCTGTAAGATTACCATATTTATATTTCTTCCTCTTAAGTGATTGGATTTCTTCAAAGGCAGAGCTACAGAAGGCCAGGTGGCCTTGCTAATGGTCATCTAGGGAACTTTTCTGAAAGCATATGTATCTCTTACAAGTAATGATTCATTCTTAACATGGCGATCCTTTTAGCTGGGAAAGTCTTTATAGGTCAAAGAACCTCATGAATGTTTAAAAAGCTGTTACCAATTTTTCTAATCTTGGTGGTGTTTCTTGATCTCCTTTGCCATGAAATCCTGGTATGTGTATAAGGAACAGATGGAATAGTTAATAGAATAATGATAAACAGAGTTTCTTTTCCTACCCAAGTATGTAGCTAAAATAGTTTCCCTGTACAGTATAGCTAAAAAAGAACTTTAAATGAGCATTCATCACAGGATATAATTTAAACTTATTTATCTTCAGTGTTTGTTAGGTTTTCCAAGGAATGTTTATTATAAAGATTGAAAAATATCTGATTGGGCCAGCAGCACAGCTGTAGAAAATTTTTGGTCCTAGGAGACCTGTTCTCATCATAATAGCTATTGATGGGATTTTTGGTCCTGTTGATGATTTATGATTGATGATATACAACCTTTAATCACACTAGTGTTTTTGACTTAAGGCACCAAAAGTTCTCATTCTTTCTCCCCACATTTTGTCTGACAAGTACCAAATTAGGTTTTATAATATTCAGATGTTTCGAGTCGTTATCTTTATTTCATTAAAGCACTGCTAGGGTATTTTCAAATAAGAAATAACATGAAGAAAAATCTTTTTTCAGTATCAAGAAAATATTATCTAAAAATCACTGCAGATAGATATATCTGGCATCTGTATGCATGGTTATCCACAGTCTTTGGATTATTTGAATTTTGAATTAGCTGAGTGTTTTGGAAGGTGGGTAGGTAGACGCACTGCTTAGATTTCCCATAACAGAATGACTTTCCACAGGGGTTTGAAAGTGATAATGAGCCTTGTGGGAAATTACCAAATATGCTTGTTGTGTTGCAATAAAATAATTGGCATTCTTAGGGAATTGGGCAGTCTCTTTATTCAAGGATTTCTGAAGCACCCCATGGTATTCAGTGGCTTATCCATAAATATTCTATTAGTGTTTTGGAGTCATTGTCCCTTTCTTTTGTTCCTGGTGAAGTAGGATTAATTTTGGTTTGACTGACTGCTCTCCTATGAAAGTCTTGCTTTTTGGTTAGGAGAATAGGAAGCAAGATTCGTACTTCCACTCCAGTCTTCTTTGCTTGTTAGGGTGTGAAATGTGCTGGGGGAGGGTGTCCCTAATGCTTCAGCAGGAGCTGAATTTTTCTGGTGGTTCCATTGGGTACAGACTGATCTGAGGAGGAATGTCCATTTTGAAAATTGTATCCAGTTCCAGGTTTGATCATAAACCATTGTGAGGATTTGAAAAGTGTATTTATCTCCTTTTCAAAATACCAGTAGTGTTAATATTCTGACGGGAGACGTGAAGAGAGAGTATGTAAATTAGGCTGTTGGAAGTATCTAGTGAGTACTCAGTAATTTTTACTGAATTCAGCACAAGACCCAGAAACCTAAGTAACTGTATTTAAGATTTCTTTACATTACCATTTCTTTTGTTTTTGTTTTTTTAAACTTCAAAGATATTCAGTAAAATAGAACCAAGCTTGAAGAGTAAAAATGCGCAAAGTAGCTAAATAGATATTACTCCACAGAAGATGTATAAATGGCCAATCAGCACATAGAACAGTGCTCATCATTAGTCATCAAAACCACACTAAGAAACCACTTCACACCCATCAGGACCCAGCAATTCCCCTCCTAGGTCAATGTTCAATAAATGAAAATATATCTACATAAAATCTTGTCCTCAAATGTTGGTACCAGAATTATTCATAATATTCAAGGGGGTAAAAAATCCCAGTATTCATCAGCTGATGTGTAGATTTAAAAATGTAGTCTAGTTGGGCATGATGGCACACACCTATAGTCCCAACACTCGGGAAGCTGAGGCAGGAGGATCACCATGCATTCAAGGCCAGCCTGAACTGCTCAGTGAGAACCTTTTGCCAAAAAAAAAAGGTGGTCTATCCATACAATGGAATATTAATATTATTTGGCCATAAAAAGGAATGAAATACTGGTGTACATTACAGCATTGATAAACCTAGAAAACATCATAAGTGAAATGAGCCGGACACAAAACACCGTTACAGTGGTACCTCAGTTCACAAAAATTCTTTCCATGATTTTGGTCACAAACTGAATTGAACGAGACCTCCATAAAGGTCTCCATAAAGACAACATTGAATCTAAATGTTGGATTTGATTTGGTTCTTGTCCAGTTAAGTTTGCAGCCAGAATCGTGGAAAGAATTAAGTTCGTGAACCAAGGCACCGCTGTAGATGATTTTATTTAAATGCTTTTCAGAATAGGAATTTCTGCAGAGTCAGGATGAGAGTCTCAGTTAAGAGCTGGGGAGGAGCGAGAGGGTGAGCACTGGTAGCTGAGTGTATTTCTTTTGTGGGAATGAGGACATTTAAAAGTGATTGTGGTGACAGTGGTACCAACTGTATGGACACAAAAACCACTGAGCTGTACACTTTAAATTAGTAAATTGTGTCGTTTTTCAGCCTCTCAGTCTGCTTTCTGTTCCTGTAACATGGGGAACTGAGTAATTCATATGGAGTAAAGGTTTATTTCCACCATGGTTCCAGAGGCTGGGGAGCCCAAGAGCGCAGTGCTGGCATCTCCATGGCATCTGGTGAGGGCAGGGGCATCAAGTGGGAGCAGATTACTGGGTTGTTCTGGTCCTACCCCCTCCCTCTTCATGGAGAGCTGCTAGTGCAGTCAGGGGGTGCACCCTAATGACCTTAACGGGTCTTAATTACCTCCTCAGGTCTCCCCTCTGAATACATCATCGCATGACTTTGGGGATTAAGTGGCAACTCATGCATTCCAGGGACACATACAAAAAACACACCCATCAATTACATCTTTTAAAAGTTCTGACAGAGAGCCAGGTGCACTTGCCCATGCCTGTGATCCCAGTGCTAGGAGGCTGAGGCAAAAAGAATTCAAGTTCATTGCCAGCCTGGGCAACTTCATGAGACCCTGTTTCAAAATAAAAAAAAAAATTTAAAGGACTGGGATGTAGCCCAGTGCAAAGGCCTTGGGTTAAGTTCCCAGTACCAACCAACCACACATACACAAACACTAACAGATTCAAATACTTTACATGGCAAATATTTATAAAAACTCATAATTATACTATCAGCTGAAACTACTTTGTTTTATTGTAATTTCATTGTTTATCTGACAATGAAGAATGCTAAAACATTTTATGGAAGATACAGTTTGCATTTTAATTTTGCATGTTGGGAAAGTATTTTACTCATATCCAGTAGAAAAATAAGCTTCAAAATAGCCTCAGGGCCAATTAAGAAATATGAATATGAAACTTCAGTTATGAAACTCCATGTTCTGCTATGTACAGTTCTTCTTTTTGACTTCTTTTGTGTGATCTTAACTAAAGCAATGATGCAGGCATGTTCTGTATTGCATGATTAAAAAATGACACAAGGTTCACAGTAAAGTTTAAGAATTTTCATCACCAGTGAAAAGCACATTAAACACCTGAAACATCATCTTCAAAGGATATAATCCTGACAAGAAAGAAGGGAAAAAATAAACTATAGCTTCTCTGTGCTGTGGTGAGATCAGTCGTCTTCTATAGGAAAAAAAAATGTATTTTTGTCTTCAAAACTAGTTCTGAAACAGTTGGCAATTACAGCAAATGTAAGGAGTAAATTCTGCCTGAAAAGATTGATGGAACTATTTTGCATAAATGAACTTTGCTCTATTATTTAGTTTTATTAATTGGGTGTCTAAGTTTGGTAGTTAAAGCATTTTTTAACGATCATTTTGTCTCTTCTCTAGTTTTTATCTAACAACCAAATTTTTAAAAATGCTATTACTAAGAGTTACAATCTCTGATGTAGAATTCTAGACAAAGATTGCCTTGTACGTCTCCATCTTGGGATTACTCTGAAGTGTGATACTCAGCCTGTAAATTCTGTGGTATTTATGTGATAAACATTGCTCTGCCTCTCAGGGTATGGAGCCATAAGACTGAAAGGCTTTATCAGCTCTTTTCCGCCATTCTCTTGACTCAAGTCAGGACTTCCAGAAAATTCTCCAAGGACTAAATACCTTTAAGTTGTAAGAGTCCAGTCTAGTCAACAGTCCATCCCAGCCCCTGCTTAAGGACCCCTGGCCACCTTCTTATATCTTCTTTCCTCAGCAACACCCACCTAAGGTCTCATTGAAGTCTGGGTCCATGTCAGGTGCTGTGGCTACAGTAGTGACAAGACCATCGTGTCTACCCTTGGGGAGGCATTCTGCATTTGTCAACATTTCTTACTTTGAAGATTTTTGTTATACTCAAAATATGACATGACATATTTCCTTGTCTTTGCATATAAAAGCAAGAAATCTGAAACAGAAGAGCAGTCCATTGCTGTGTTCTGTAACCTTTTCTTTATGCCCATAGGCCACTCTGGCTATCAAAATCATCATCCGTACAGCAGTGCAGAGTACAGTGAAGAGCCTAGAAACTATGATGTGTACACAGCGGGCCTGAGTGAAGAGGAGCAGCTGGAGAGAGCGCTAAGAGCCAGCCTCAGGGACCGAGGTGAGAGTCTTACACCCTTCAGCCATTTTATGGCACACCTCATGCAGTGAGATGGTCTGAAAAAGCTCTGTTTGTAGCAAACTAAACTTTAAGTAGTGTATAAAAAGAGTATATAAATGAAAAAATGTGCACAAATTGTGATTACAAAGATTGGGGTGTGATGCCATATTCCCAGCAACCTAAGCTAATAAGGTGCCAGACTGTGTACGTATTGTTAAAGTAGTTCTTTTTATAAGCCTGCTGCACTCAGTGCTTTGACGTTAAAGTCAGAAAATTTAAAAAAATTTTCTTCGGTGCATGAAAAAACTGGGTTGCTTTGGAATGCATATCTGTAAAGCAGGCTGTGTGTCACCAAATATCAAAGTGCTGCTTGTAAACCTCCCTCAGATCTTTGTCAGAATCACATGGGCCAAGATTCCAAACTCACGTTTGAGTTCTGCTGAACCAATCTCTCTGGGGGCAGAGCCTAGAAATTTGTACTTTTAACAGACATTCCAGAAGATTCTTTTACAAATTGATATATGAGAACCAGCACGTGTATTCTGCCCTTTTTTGTTCTGGGTTTGACTTACAAGGTTGGGTATTACTGCTTTTATTTTTGTTTTAGTAGTGACTGAAAAGCAACCATTCATTCAGTATGCATTTATGACGATCTTACTATGCTTTATGTAGAGCACTGTGCTGTACACAAAGGCACAGAGAGAGGAAAAGATGCAACCTTCCCTGAAAAAGGTCACACTGTGTGATAGGGAATACTGTACAAGTAACTATAATATCAGGTGCCTAAGAAAGGCCAAGTGCTGTAGGCAGAGAGAAGGGGGAAAGCTTTTTGTTAATTAGAGCTGTCACATTTTTACAAGAGGTGGCATTGGAACTGGACCTTCAAGGATGTGTAGACTTTGCAGAGATGTAGAAGGGAATTTTAGGCAGGAGTCAGAGTTTCAGTGTGGGTACAGAGATGTGTGTTCACTTTTGAACAGAGCATTAAGACAGGGAAGAAGAGTTGGAAGCTAGACTGGGGCTTTGACCCAGAAATCCTAGAATTAAATACACCAGGAAGAAAATGGATCCAGCAAATGATGTAAATGCCAATAGTGTTCTTCATAGTAGAGTGATGTGTTCTGAGCTGTGTTTTACAAATGCAGCAGCTGTCATCCTCAAACGAGGATTGAGTGTTTATGAGATGGCAAGCCTTATGGATTATGAGAGTATATAATAATGACAGTGGAACTCCTGACTTTAAGGAATACACAGTTTTGGCAGTAGCAGTGTGCTTGGACATGGAGGACCACAGCAAGGGGAGAGTCAATCTGGAATGCTGTAATAGCCTGAAGAAGAAATGAGAGCTTGTATTAGGAAGGTGGCAGGAGAGGTGAAAAGAAGAGAGGAATGAATTCCTCTCGGGGAAAGAGTATTAGAACTGTGATGTATCAGTAATCTACCACTCTGCACCCAGTCACCCTGAAACTTACAGTTTAAAACTCTTGCTCAAGAGTGTGTGGGTCAGCTGTGTCAGAATAACTGATCTCGGCTGGGTAGCTACAGTGTTCAGTGGTCACTTGGGGACTGGCTGGCCTAGAATGGCCCTGTTTGTGTCATCTGATAGTGGTGATTGGGCCACAGGTCATTGCTCATCCAGCAGGCCAGTCTGGCTTTTTCACAACACCATGGCATAAGGATTCTGAGGGACAGTGTGGGAGACCAGCATGGCTTAACATGGCACAGCCTCAGTTCCCAGTTTTCTGTTGCTGGAGCAGATCACAAAAATTGCTCAGATTCACAGGGAAACGCAATAGATTCTACCTCCTGGAGGAAAGGCAGAGTCACACTGCAAAGGTTATTGGCAGAGAGAGGAGTGGAAAATTGGGGAAATTTTTGTTACCACTTCAGCACATATCACTGGTCTGCCAGGGTGACAGTCATTAGAAGTGTGCCTTAGCTGTGGAATCCCAGAAACCAGGGAAGGACCTCAGGGCCTGCATTTCATAGATTGTCGTCACTGTTCTTCTACACATAGGTTTAGGCATTACTTGGCTAGCCATCCCATATTATGGGATAAGTAGGGCAAAGCAGAGCTTCTCCGCGTACTCTGTACAGTTTATTGCGTGCGCTTCCAGGTGGACATCAGGTGAGTCCCAACAGCCAAGGAACATGCGCATGTCAGCTTCCCGGTCGTGAGATACTACCTGACACACATACTCTACAGGAGAGAAGGTGTAAGTAGCTCAGTTTCAGATTTGATACATGGTAGGTAGAAGCGTGGTACGTGGTGGAAGAGCATAGAGGAGCACAGATATCTATTTCCATGGTGTCAGGGAAGTGGAGCCGGCAGCAGTGCCAGAGAGGAACTGACAGGACCGTGTTTAGTCCCCGAGGCCATTGCTCTCTGAGCCACCCAGACACACCCAGGAGCGTGCTCTATGAATCTGCTAAGCACTGCTTCTTAATCCAAAGAAGTTGATGTATTGTGATTAATCATCACAACGCATAAGCGAAAGATTAAACTCATATTTGGGAGGATAATATCAGTTATTACTGTCCGTTGAGAAAATGTATAGGTCAAAATAGCACAGCTTCAGAAAATTGACAGTGTGAGATAGGAAGAAAAGGGCTAAAGGTGTAGGGGGAGTGGAAAGGGTAGGAGAAAGATAATAAGGGAAAGAAAAAAATAGAAAATGAAAAAATGGAAAAAAGTTTTTGTAAATAGGGAAGGGAGGAGGGGCATGAATGGAGGGCAGGGGTATGGGGAAAAAATGAGAACCAAGACCTGTCATGTAAAGGTACGAGATCCCAATAATGAATGTAACTGTACTGTATACCTAAAATGTACTAATAAACTCAGAAAAAAAAACCACACTAAACATACACTAAACTATGCAAATAAAGTACCAATTACAAGGTTCCTCTTTGTGGTTAGGCCTACAAAAGCCAATATAATGCAGTACCTTGCTGAACAACCAAAATAAAAAATATTCCATCTTAAAAAAAAAAAGGGATTAAAGGGTGATTAAAAAGTCTGAGGGAAATATCAGGTAGCCTTAGAATATTCAAATGTGGGGTATAAAAAAAATCTCTATCTTAAGTGTAGTCAGAGAGGGAAAATGCAGGCAGACAAGCATATTTTTGTAGTGTGTATTTTTACTAAAGGGTTTTTATATATTCGTGGTGTAGTTATACAGGTAGTAATAGTACCACAGATGTCTTTTCCAGAAAGAGAAAGAAAATATGACTCCTTTAAATAATTGGTCTTTGTATCTCATGGGAAACCTGTAGATGAAAGCATTCTCTGATGGGCTTGGTGAGTTTGAAGTAATTTTAGAGACTTGAATATAGCTTCCGAGGAAAGGTTTTAATTTGTGGACCAGAAGAAAGTTAGTGTAGGTTTCTGAGACTGTTTCATTACTAAATAAGTGTTTATTATTAGGCTAATAAAAGTAGTTAATATTTTTTTCTGCTTCAAAATAAATATTGAAGTATTTTCAATATTTATCAACAGGCAAAAAAATTAGACACCTACTGCCTTGAGAGATTTCAGATAGTAATCTGATAGTAGTGTTGATTTTTCATAAATTTAATCTTATCCTTAAAAAGAAAACTAATTCTAAAAATATCTCAGGACTGACTAGCAAAAGAAATGACAGGCTTTTCTACCTTTATGGTAGATTATTTTTATGTCTTGTATTCTTACAACATTTCAGGGAATGTGGAACAAGTATTTTTATTTAAAAACATTTATATATATCAGAGACCGTAAGACTGACTTGGTGAGAAGACTTTTTCAGGGATTATTTTGAAGCCTGGTGTTTTGTTTCTACCTCGATCTAGCTAGCTGTTTGATTTGGAAAAAACCTGGCTTCTACTTGATAAGTGTGGAGTTAATTTCTAAAGTTCTTTATAGTGTGAAACTGGTGTAGGAGGAGCAGAGTTTGTGTGCAACTGTGTTCATCATCTCACCTATCATTTTAACAAAGCCATAGTCCCCCCTTCTCCTTTCTCCTACAAATGTATTTTCAGAATTTCAAGCCATCTATCTATTCTTTCTGTTCACAGAATATTACAAAAGCTCCGCATACTCGACATCTGTCGCTCATATTGCCACTTGATGTATCTGAAACATAGTGGCCTCCTTTAGCCTTGTCAATTACAGTGAATGTGTTCTGGTACCGGCATCTCTAGTTTTTTTGTTTTGGGGGTTTTTTTTGCTGCAATATATATACGTGTGTGTGTGTGTGTGTGTATGTATGTGTGTGTGTATTTTAATTCAAAGTGAATCAACAGCAATGCACCATAAATTCTTATTTTGACACTCACCAAAATAGTCACCTGGAAAACCTGCTTTTTGTGACAATGTACAGAAGGCTTGGTCACATTTAAATCACTGAGAACTAGAGAGAAATACTGTCACAAACTGTAATAGACATTATACATACACAAAAATTTTCCCAGTCCTTATTATCATATTACACAGTGCAATTGCTACATGGCAAACTAGTATAACATAGAAGTAAAAGCAAAGTAAATAAATCAAAGAAAGAAAGCCACAAGTCTAAAATCGTTAAACATTCAAACTTAATAATCAAATCTGCATCATTGGGTTCATGAAAACAAATCTTCCTACACCTTCCAGTGTAGTGATTTAACTTTTACTCAACACAAAACAAGTTAAAAATTAGCAGTAGAGATTTAAAAAATGAAAAAGCAAACATTTAATTAAACATCCTCGATGAAAGAAAGAACAACTAAGATTAGGATATCTGATTAGAAAAAAACTATATGTAAATTAAAACAGTATGCAAATATCCAACTTGGAAATCATACAGTGTTTTAAGAAACTATTAAAGCTAAAGGAAACTGATAAAAATGGTTTTTTAAGAGGGTACACATCCAGATTCCTTTTACCATATGCTAAATTTAGACCTCGATGGGATTTTCAATTTTTTAAATTATTTTAATTAATTTTTATCCAGTCTCTTGTATTTAATGGAATAGAGCATGCACAT